CCGGGATTTGGGGGGGGGGGGTTCCCCCCTTGCTCAGCAGCGCTGGGTGCCGGCTGGGATGGGGACGTGGCTGTGCCCACGCTCCGGCTGGCACCAGCCCTGCAGGGTCCTGGCCCCTGCGCTCAGGCTCAGCCCGATGCCAGGTTTGGGGTCGGGAAGGGCTTTCCCCTGGTCCCTTCCCTGCAGTGGGGTGCGCGGGCTGGTCGCTGTGCGTGGTGCAGGAGCAGGTCAGAGCAGGACGTGCCCGGGAGGGTTCGGCCAGGGCTGGTCCTGGGCCTCGGGCACGCTGTGACCCCCGCAGGGCCCTGCCGCTGCCTGCTCCGGGGTCCTGTGTGCTCTGCACCCCAACCCCGGCCCACCCTGCCTGCATCCTGCCTCCAGCCCGGGCCCCAGCCTGGCCCAGCGCCTGGAGCCCCTCTGCGACCATCTGAGCATCGCCCGCCTTCCCGAAGTGCTGCCCCAGCTCCGGTGAGTGAGCGGGGCTGGGGCGCAGGCTCGGGGCTGACAGGGGAGGGCGTTGGGGGAGCAGCAAGGGGGGTTCCCAGTGAGGACGCACTAAGGAGGCCAGGCCTGGGCAGGGGCGAGGAGAGACGCCAGAGCGGGGACAGGAGACGGTTTTGCAAAATGGGGGAAAGGAAGTCACTAGGGATTTATTGCTGACGCCTCTCGCCAGACGAGCCCGAGGGGGCACAGCAGGAGCAGAGCAGTCAGTTTAAAACTAAGAAAAGGCAGTCCCTGCCCCGGCCCCCCAGCGCGGCATTGAAGGGTGGGGGGCTTGTGGCCACCAGATGTGCCAGGATCTGAGAGGGCAGCCACCAAGGGAAGGGACACGGGCTGGGAGGAAAGGGGCATCGGGAGCTATCAGCAGGGGAGCGAGGGGCACGGCCTCTGCATCAGCCCTTCGCTGCTGGGGGCTGCAAGGGGGAAAACCCGGGTCGCTCCCGTCCAGCCTCTGCTCTGCTGATGCACAGCACTGGGCAGGATGGACCTGGGGCTGACCCAGCGCGTGGCAGCTCTGGGCTGCACCCACCTAACGCTGACCCCCTCATGCCCAGGGCACTGCTGGCGGAGGAGCACCGCGCCCTGGAGGAGCTGGTCGCCCACCTCCAGGTAGGGTTGTGCCTGGCTGGGGAGGGGGCTGGAGGAGGGGTGCAGCACGGGATGAGACCTGCTTCAAGGGCCCAGGGCGGGAGAGGGGGTGACTGGAGCAGGACGAGGGGCTTCCCCGGGACCGTGCCCACAGAGACAGCTGCTCTGGGCATGGCTGGCAGTGCCCTTGTGACCTGGCAGGAGCTGGCTTTGCCCTGGCAGGGCAGTGAGGGTTGGGGGGTTAGAGCAGCAGGGGTGTGAGCCTGGACCCTGGGTTTATCCTCAGTTTTGGGAAGTGAGTGGGGGGCCGATGGGTGAGAGTGGGGGGGTGGGATGCCCAGACACCTGGGTTTCCTCCCAGCTCTGTCTGTGGAAGCTGGGCACGGGGTGGTGGTGCTTGGGCTGGTGGCATCAGTGCCCGCACCTAGAGGCCAGGGCTGCTGCAGCCGCCGGGACTGGGAGCCAGGCTGGCACTGCCCCAGGGGTGGGGGTGTTGTGGGCTCATGCCCTCTGACGGGGGTCTGGTTTGGGGGGTGCTGACCCTCCCTCTGCCCCCAGCGCTGCCTGGAGGACGAGCACCGCGCTGCCACAGGGAGCCCGGAGCCAGAGCCGGAGCCCACAATGGCGGGTGAGCGGGGTGGGGGAGGCGTCCCAACCTCTGAGCATCCCTGGCTGGGGTCTGGACTGCCCTGGGGGCTTCACAGATGCACAGAAGTTTAGGGCTGGAAGGGACCTCAGGAGATCATCGGGTCCAGGCCCCCTGCTCTGGGCAGGAAAGGCTGCGGGGGTCAGATGACCCCAGCACGGTGTGCGTCCAGTCTCCTTTGGAAGATCTCCGGGGTCGGTGCCTGCACCACCCGCGCTGGGCATCTATTCCAGAGTCTGCTCACACAAACCGAGACATTTTTCCTTATAGCCAGTCTGAAACTTCCTCCTAGGAGTTTATGACCATTGCTTCTGGTTTTCCTCTGGGGCACTTTGGTGACTAGTTGTTCACCTCGCCCCCAATGCTCTCCCCTGATACATTTGTAAGCTGCCACCAAATCCCCCCAAAGCCTTCTCTTTTCCAGGCTGAGAAGTCCCGTATCTGTCAGCCTTTCCTCGTATGGCTTGCTCTTCAGGCCTCTAATCGTACGGGTGGCTCTTTTCTGGACTCTCTCGAGCTTTACCATGTCCTTGCTGAAGTGCGGCGCCCAGAACTGGATGCAGTGCTCCGGCTGCGGCCTCACTGATGCTGAGCAGAGCGGGACAGCAACTTCCTTAGTTTTGCTCGAGCTGCATCGGTCGATGCAGGCCAGCATAGTTTGCTCTGTGGGGATGCTTGTTTGGGGGGCACAGAGCCAAGGGAGCCCTCCTCCCTTCCAGCGGGCACCGGGTGCCTGGGCGCAGCACAGCAGGGTCAGGCTGGAGTCAGGGAAACCGCGCTGCTGGAGCCTGGAGGCCAGGGCATGGCCTGCCCGGGGTGGGGGAGACTCCGTCCTGGGGGTGCAGGCAGAGGCAGGGGCGAGGCCTGGGGCTGCGTCAGGGATGACGTTTGTGTTGCTCAGAGGTTGGACACAGGATTCATCTGGGCTGGCTTGGACAGGCCTGAGCCTGCCTCAGGCAGGGCTTGGACTCGACGTGACCCTGCAGGTCCCTGCCAGCCCCACGGCTCTGGGATTTCGCTGGGTGATGAATGCAGCTGGGCCCCACGGCTGGAGGGGACACGGCTGCGGCTGTGCAGCGGGGTGAGGTGTGGGGCTCTGGGCTGCAGAGCAGAGCGGAGGTGTCTGCTGTCCCTGGGCTTTGCTGGTTGTCACGTGGGGCCAGGGAGGCATTTCCACCACTTGCTGCAGGTGTCAGGGGGGTTTTAAGCCTCCTCCAGTGGCACTGGTGCTGCTGCAGCACGGGCTGGGCCATGCCAATGATCCCGCTGGCACCAACCCGCAGGGTCCTGGCTGCAGGGTCTTGCCCCTGCGCTCAGGCTCAGCCCAACACAAAAAGGAAGCTTACAAGAAGCGGAAACTTGGACAAACACCTTGGGAGGAGCATGAGAGCATTGCTCCAGCAGGCAGGGATCACGTCAGGAAGGCCAAAGCGCAACTGGAGTTGAAGCTACAAGGGATGTGAAGGGGAACAAGAAGGGTTTCTACAAGTATGTCGGTAGCAAGAGGCGGATCAGGGGAAGTGTGGGTCCCGTCCTGCATGGGGGAGGCAACGTGGTGACGGAGGATGCAGAAAAGGCTCGATGCCCTTTTAGCACCCAGGCTGCTGCACCGGGCAGCAGTTTGGGGAGGAGGCGAGCAGCCCTCGGTGGTGAAAGAACAGGTCAGGGACTATTTGGAGAAGCTGGATGTGTGCGAGTCCATTGGGTCAGACAGGATGCGCTCGAGGGTGCTGAGGGAGTTGGCTGACGTGATTGCAGAGCCACTGGCCATCGTGTTTGAAAACTCATGGCGATCAGGAGAGGTCCTGGATGATTGGAAAAGGGCAAACATAGTGGCCATGCTTAAGAAAGGGACGAAAGAGGCTCCAGGGACCTCCAGAGCAGTCAGCCAAACCTCCGTTCCTGGACGGAGCAGACCCTCAAGGAATCGGTTTCCAAGCACTTGGAGGAGACAAAGGTGATTAGGAAAAGTCAGCGTGGATTCACCAGGGGCAAGTCCCGCCTGACCAACCTGATGCCTTGCGACGAGGTGACTGGCTCTGTGGATGTGGGGAGACTGGTGGATGTGGTGGACCTTGATTTTAGCAAGGCTTTTGATACCGGCTCCCACAGCATTCTCGCAGGCAAGCTAAGGAAGTACGGGCTGGATGAATGGACTGGAAGGTGGATCGAAAACTAGCTGGATTGCAGGGCTCAGAGGGTAGCAATCAGTGGCTTGATGTCTATTTGGCAGCCGGTATCAAGTGCAGTGCCCCAGGAGGTCGGTCCTGGGGCCGGTTTTGTTCAATGTCTTCATCAGTGACCTGGAAGATGGGGTGCAGTGCACCCTCCGCAAGTCTGCAATGACACCCAGCTGGGAAGCAGCTGCACTGGAGGGCAGGGCTAGGATTCACAGTGACTAAGACATGGGAGGATTGGGCAAAAATTTCATGAAGTTCAACAAAGACAAGTGCAAAGTCCTGCATGTAGGAGGGAGCGATGCCCTGCACCGGTGCCGGCTGGATCTGACTGGCTGGGCAGCAGCTCTGCAGAAAAGGACCTGGGGCTTATAGTGAGCAATAAGCTGGACAGGAGCCAGCAGTGTGCCTGTGGTGCCAAGAAGGCTACTGGCATGCTGGGCTGCATTGGTAGGAGCGGTGCCAGCAGATCGAGGGCAGTGATCCTTCCCCTCTATTCAGCACTGGGGAGGGCACATCTGGAGTCCTGTGTCCAGCTGTGGCCCCCCCACTGCAGAAAGGATGTGGGCACATTGGAGAGAGTCCAGCGGAGGGCAATGAAAATGGTTGTGGGGCTGGGCACAGGAGGTGAGGAGAGGTGAGGGAACTGGGCTGATTGAGACTGCAGAAGAGAAGACGGAGGGGGATTGAACAGCAGCCTTCACCTCCCTGCAGGGGGGCTGCAAAGAGGATGGAGCTGGGCTGTTCTCGGTGGGGGCAGATACAGGACAAGGAGCAATGGGCTCAAGCTGCAGCAAGGGAGGTTTAGGTTGGATATTAGGAAAATCTCTTTGTCAGGAGGGTGGTGAAGCACTGGAACAGGCTCCCCAGAGCGGCGGTGCCGTCTCCATCCTTGGAGGTTTTGAAAACCCGGGTAGACCAAGCCTTGTCTGGGATGATGTAGTTGGGGCTGGTCCTGCTTGGAGCAGGGGTTGGACTAGATGCGACTCCTGAGCTCCCTTCCAGCCCTCATCGTGATGCTGCACTGGGGGCAGGGATTTCCCCCTGCCCAGACTGGTCTGGATGGGGTTTTTGCCTTCCTCTGCCGCAAGGCCATGGCCACTGCTGGGATCTCGCAGGTGCCTTGACCCCCTGGGCTGTGGCAGGACACTGCCAGTGGTTGCACGCAGGGCTGGGCCGTGCGGGGACCAGGGCTGACCACGTTTGGACAGGGCCGGTCCTGCCTGAAGCAGGGGCCTGGACGCACCGTGACCCCCTCCCACCCCGGTTGCACGAGGCTCCTCGGACTCTGATGGGCCATGGGGGGCAGGAGCCGAACTGGGGGGGTTTGGGGCTTGTGGGGTGCTGCCCTACCATGGGCAGGCACGAGCGGTCCTGGCCTTCATTGCAAGGGTGAAGGGATGGTGGTTGCTGGGGGGCCTGGGGCATCGTGGGCACCCCCAGGCCCACCCCTGCCCTGCCCTGCTGTGCCCCACAGAGCTGCAGGAGCAGCGCAGAGCCATGGAGCGGGACCTGCAGCAGGGCCAGCCCGCGCCTGCACACAGCCACGTCCACCGCCACACCTGGGGGGCAAAGCCCAGCACGACCCCGGCTCCCCCAACACCACCCAGGTAACCCCTGTGGGAGGGGGGCATTTTTGGGGGAGCTATGCCTCAGCCCTTCCATATGGGAGCCCCAGGGCTGCAGGTGGGGAGTGAGGGGAAGAAGATGAGGGCTGGGAGTGGTGGACGCGGGGGGGGGGGGGGGTGAGTGTGGGGTGCAGTGCCCCCACTCGTGCCACCCCTTTTCCTTTTGCAGCTGCCCCCCAAGCCCGAGGAGCCCAATGTCGTCCGGAGGAGCTGCCAGCCCCATGCCTGGCACCCAGGCCCCGCCAGGCCCCTGCACACTGGCCCCCAAACCCCCCCGCCCGGCCGC